TAAATAGCCTTAAGTTCGCAATTTTCTCGTCGACCGTCAACTTTTCTTGATGGTTCAATTGTTTCTACTCCCACCAATACATCAAAAGAATCATTACTATATCGTATGCCTGGTGCTTATATAGGTGCTTAAAAAAATTAATGTTATTCTTTTGCTAATCCTTACGTAAAAAACAAAATACTATATAGTTATTTTAACGTATTTGCTTTTATATTCTAAATAAACAGGTAGTGTTTCGGACGACGGTATTGATACTTGGAAAGGTAATTAAAAATCATAATTATCCAGTCTTTTGTTAAATAATTATACAAAATTTTGACTAATACCATATATTATTTTTAAAAAAAGATATAGGGAGCTATACTCATAATCTAATAATGTATCTCATACCTCACGCACTTACGTTGGTCTTTCCGACACTTCCTTCATTATACAAATCCCTACCAAATTATTTCAGAATAAGTTTACTGTCAATAACATTTTATGCTTTATTTTCTTGCATTTTTGCAATTACCAAATTGGTGCAGGCTTTTTTATTTTTTTACTAAGCTTTTTTTTCTTGTTTCTTTACGGATGCTTTGATTTAATTGTCGTTGCTTATACTTTCATATACATAATTGGAGGAATTAGAGTCTTTACAAATTGGGTTGAAATTTCCATTATGTTTCTTGATTACTTTCTGGTACCCCCTGAGAAAGTAGATAATGTTAAGAATAGAGGTTTTAAATGCAGGGGCTGTAAATGTTAATAGAAAAAAAAAAAAATACATATAGATATAAGACCTCTAGGAAAATGATTAAGTTAGAAAACAATTATTTTTCAACAGACATCTGGAAGTCAAACAAGTTTTTTTTGGCTAAATAAACATAAAATGTATGGGATTTGAAAATTTTTTTTTAAAAAAAAACAAAAGTTATCATTTTTGAATGTTTAAATGACACAAAATTATTTAATAGAACAACCTTATCGTTATTGTTACTAATACAATTCGACAAAATTTATTAAAACAATTTTTGAAATAGTTTAAAGACAGATAAAGATATAGGGCTGCGTAATAATGCATATTGGCGTTATTTTTGAAATTTCCATTTTTTGACCCGAAATAACACCCATACGCGTTCCAAAATAAGCATCCCCTTAAGTACACACCAGGTAATGAATATACTAAAAGGAATTTTGATGCCTTATTCGAATATTCATTATTCGAATTTAGACGTCTAAATTTGAGACTTTAACATCGAAAGGCAAATATATATATATTCTATCATATACGATTTAGTGTTATAAGCTGATTAGGGAAGCCGGCTAAGTCGGTCGATTTTTTGAAAATCGACTTAATAGAATTGATCGTACTCTAACCTTACGTATTCAATATTCGTATTTTTTTTATAGAATTCCGAATTTAAAAAATATGCTAATTTTATAAATCGTCTACTTGCATCTGAACTTCTTTGATCCATTTATTGGTCAAAAGTTATTTCTAGGTTTTAGGTTAATGTTTTATTGCTTAGTTGACTAAGTCGGCTAAGCAGATTTATAACATTAACTTAGTCGATAGTTTAAACCTCGACTATAACATTATTAAAATCGAGAATATAGACGTTCTTAAGAAAGAATTGAGAAAAATCATAAATTTCAGGAGAAGTGTATTCTAACTGCTCAAGTATTGCTTGGAGAGAAACCCGTGGTTGAATATTGATTATCTTTATGAAGGGATTAAAACTTGATGCTTTCTTCTGACATCATCAAATTGCATTAGATGTGTC